CTCACGAACATTATACAAATATGCACACTACAGATGCATGCCCCCAAATTTACATAATAACTCTTAATAAAAAAAAAAATCTCTAGTATAAGCCAGGCAGTGGTAGCACCTTTAACGCCTTTCATCCCAGCAATCGGGAGGCAGAGGCAGGCGGAGCTCTGTGACTGAGGCCAGCCTGGTCTACAGAGGGAGGTCCAGGACAGCCGGGACAGAGAAACCTACTGGAACATGGTCCAAGGATGGAGTCTTGTGGGGGAACTCTTGAGTGCTTATGAGAAAACTCCAAGAAAACAAGAGTCTTGGCCCCTCAGTTTCTTCAAAATCACACACTTGGTCTGGGCATGTGCTCTCGTGCCCCTCCCAGGCGAGGCGGATAGACGTGCGCTTCCTTCGACTGTCTGTTAGTGTTTATGCCGTTTTTGTTGTGGGTGGCTGGCCTGCCACACGCAGCTTGTTACCGACTTGCCCTTGTAATTGGACACGCTTTACTCACGTGACTCTTCTTAACGGCAGAGCATAAACTGTCTGATGCTCTGAAGAAAAAACACTGGCTGTTGCATGAGACTTTAGTCTACCTTATTTTTAGGCCCTACTCCCCAAGGTTCACACGGCCAATTACAGCAGTAAATAAGAGCCTGTCCCAACAAAACAAAACAAAAAAACACAACATTTATTTCACATGCCCCAGGGGGGGCGGGGGAAGCAGCTCTCAGCCACCTGTTTCTCCAGTTTCAGGGCATCCTACAATCTTTTCGTCTCCACAGACATCCCACACTTGGCGTTCACTCACATAGACACACACATACACACCCCGTTAAAATTTTTCACTTTCTATGATCAAAGGGAAGGTATTAGAGAAAAACTAGTAAACCCTTTGTGTAATGCATTGTTTTTTTAAATACGTATGTCATATTAAAATTGCTTAATGTCCATCTCTAAAATAAGCACTTTTATATTTACATCTAGATGTTTGAATATTTTGAACTACATAAACATATATATGAACTAGAATTTTAAGCAGTAATTTCTTTTTACAAATGTTAACTTTAATCTTATTTTCTGAGACTTCCCCTTCTATCTCCTTTCTCAAAGCCTGTCATTTCCCTCCCACTCCTGAAATTCATGTCCTCTTATCCTTTAAATATAATTGGTTTGTGTGCTTCTAGTATTTTTTTTTTTCCTTGAAGGTATTCTAGAGAAATAAGCTATCCCTGCTGTAATGGATTGAATCCGTCCACATTTAGGTGCTGAAATCCCAACCTCGGAGCTGTGGAGTATGAGTGTATTTGGATTTAGAGTCTTTACAAAGGCAACAAAGTCAAAACGAAGCTGTGAGGGTGGACTCCAGCCCAGTGGCAAATGATGTCCATGTAAGAGGCCATTGGGCCCTGATCCGTGTGCAGAGAAAGTGGTGTTGCAGGCACAGACAGGAAATGGTTGCCTTAAGGCCAAGTCTAAGAAGAGCGCTCTTTCTCCTGGCTTGCAGAAATACTCAGTATGCTAGCATCTTGATCTCAGACTTCCGGCCTCCAGACTGGTGAAAAAATAATCTTTGTGCTACACTTAGTGACCCTAGCAAGCTAATACATCAGGGTTAGCAAGAGCTCTGTGTCTGCTATGTGTCATGTAAGCGTGCGGTGCATGCACACATCTATGGCTCTCCTCCAGGATCCTCTGAGGGGGTCTCTCACTGACTCCGGAGCTCCCATTTTTTGGTTAGGTTGGCAGTGACCGCCAGCAATCTTGTGGGCGTTGAGATCTGAACGCCAGTCTGTAAGGGTGCATAACCTTGCACAAGAGCTCTTAACTGCTAAGACAGCCCTCCAGCCCTCCCTCAACCATCATGTAACTGTCTCTCTCAGTTGTCTTCAGAGGATTTCCTCCATCCTAGCCACCTCACTCAGTTTATCCCTGGCCATAGTTACCGCATATCACATAGGGCTGGCTACATAATTTGTAGGACTAAAGGAAAATGCTTAAAAAAAAAAAGTAGAGTTAAATTGTAAAAGGAGCTTTTATTTTCCTGTCATCTTGGAGGCTTATTGCCTCTGTCAGCTAACCTAGGCCTCATTCTGGAAGCTTCCATCCTCCATACAATCTGACCTAAAATGTTTTCAGCCTTTGAGACTTACTGTTTAATAAACTCACCCTTTCTTGTTCTTTCTGAACCCTGGGCTAGCTGGTTCAACTCAGCTGTTCTGGCTCAAACTCCTCTCCCAGCTGACTGATTCAATCTGACTTTTCTTTCAGTTATGAATTGCTCTGCTTGGCTTCAAACTAACTCCAACTATCTTTTTTAATTTTCTGGCTCCTTCTCATTCTCGGGCTTATTCTGTCTTCGCCTGTGTCTAGCTTGTTCTCTCATTCAACCTTTCTCTGTAAAACTCTCAGGTAAAACTGCCTATGCCCTCAAGCAGCTTCCCTTTCCTCTTGGCTCTTGTGAGAGTTAGGTGTGTCCTATTCTGTCAAGTCTTTCCCTCATTCATCACTTTTTCTGCTGCTCAAGTAGACATCACTTTCAGACATGGCTGCTTCCTTCTGCAAACTAACTTTGCCTTCATTGTTTGGGACTAAAGGCCTGTACCACCACGCCTGGATCTAAACTTTTATTTATCCGAAACTTGCTCTATACCAGGCTGGCCTTGAACTCAAATCTGTTTGCCTCTGTCTCCTGGAATAAAGGCGTGTTTGTATTCCAGCTGAGTCACAAAGACCTAGAAGATTTTTGGATGTGATCTCTTGCCAGAGCAGCCATGTTCTGAATTAGAATTCCTTTACATTAAATATATTTAAATAGTCTCTTAAAATAGTCCAATACTTCTAAAACTTAATAGAGGACATAGTGGTCTATGAGAAATGACACAATTGCGTCAAAACATTTATGCTCTATCTGGTGCAATCATTTTATTATACTGGGGAGGTCAGTTATTACCTTAGAAAAACAGCTTAATAGGAGGAAATGTTTCCTTTGACTCCTGGTTTAACAGGTTTTAGTCCATGGATCCAGTGTTGTTAAGCCTGTAGAGAGACAAAACATCATGGCAGGGAGTAGGAGTGGTTGGTAGAGCAAGCTGCTCCCCTTCCAGCGGCCAAGAAGTGTCTTAGTCATGATTCTATTGCTGTGAAGAGACACCATGGCCATGGAGATTCTTATAACAGTTTGAGCAGGTGAGCATTATCAGCACGCTGGGGACTGGGGAGCATGGCTGCACACAGGCAGCTGTGGTGCTGGAAAAGCAGCTGGGAGTTCTTCGTCTGGATCCACAGGCAACAGGGAGCGACAGACACTGGGATTAGCATGGGCTTTTGAGACCTCACAGCCCACCCCCCAGTGGCACACTTCCTCCAACTGAGAGACCCTAATTGTACAAGCCTGGCTGACTCCAAGACAAACCAGTTCCTTGCTTGGCAGAACAGGCTTAAACTCCCATTTCTCAGAAATGAGATACCAGTTACAGGAAAAACTGCAGAAAAGGGGCAACCAACCAGAGACGGCCAAGGTCTTTGGCCTGGGGAAGAGAAGATGGCCCAACTGCTTGCTCAACCACCAGTCTGAAGTGGTTTGAACTGGTTGTAAAGGCCCCTAACTGGCTTTAAATGGAGTCTGCGAGCTCATTTCAGAGCCGCCATTCTTCCTGGTGATGTCCGCATGCTGGACTTCTGCAGAGCTAAACTCTCCCTGCTGTTTACATACTATCTGGGTCTGCGTTATTCCTTCAGCAAATTCTGGACCCTAGCACAAGGTCACTCCTCCTCCTGCTGGGGCCCGAGAATCACTCAAGAAAGACCCCAGACGCACGCAGTATGCAGAAGGAAGGAGTGTTTATTCTGCAGAAATTTACCTGCACGTCAGAGCCACCGTTCTTTAGAATGAGACCCCAAAGTGAGTAGGCAGGCTCAGTTTAACGCCAATTAAGAGGATTTCCAGAAGGAGTGAGGTATCTTTTCAGTTTTTAGGTTACTAGTGACTCAGGAGGTATGGGGAATTTAGGATTGGGTAAACACTTAGGAACTTTCCAGAGTTGCTGAGGACTGTTCCTCAGGCTTGCTGAGTCATTATACTTAGCTGAAGCCCATGTGTTAAACTTTAAGCTGATTGGCTGTCTGCAAGCTTCGGGTTTTTGTTTGTTTTCCCAGAAACTGATTTTTTGTATTCTGGAAAAACAGAAACTCAGGCCTAGTTAGGCAAAGTTGAAAATGAAGCCTGTCATAGAGTCATATTAGCCAAACAGACTGGGGCCTTCTGGGGGTCTCTGGGGGCTTTGGAGTTATTAGACCTCTCACCACAACAAGGCCACACCACCTAATCCTTCTCAAGTAGTGCCATTCCCTGATGACTAATCATTCAAATATATGAGCCTATGGGGCCATTCTTATTCAAACCACCACACCCCTGTAAGAGCCAACTTCTGGTCATCTTCCAGCTCAGTCCTGCATCCTGTAGGGTCTACCATTTCCAATGGCACCGTAGGCTGGCTGGTGATTAGCTCTTTACATGTGGCCCTTCGTGTTCCAACCTACAGTGATTACACTTCTACCCCTTGGTAATGTGACCCCTTTTTGTTTTCCGGGTGCTGAGGATGCAACTCAGGGCCTCATGGGCTAAGCAAGCCCTTTACCACCGAGGTACATTCCCGCGTGTTACTGTGATGTGTTGGGTAATACTGTATTCCTGTTGGTTCTAGCTGCTTCTAGCTGGCGTAATTGGCCACAGTTGGCTTTATCCTGCGTATCCTAAGAGTCCTGTTGATACATCCCCACCTATAGGTTCTAGGGCACCCAGAACCTAGATTAAGGAGGCCTCAGAGAGCCGAGAGTGAAGAGAGAGGCTGTATGAGGCCACTTGCATCCCTCGCGGGCCCTGACTGTAGACTCAGCCCTCTCCCAGTATGATCTCACAGAGCGTGGGTTCCACAGCATCCTGGAACCCAAGGGTGTCATTGTCTGCAAGAAATCTGGGAGAACGGCTCCTTCCTGATGGTGTGCTGGCTGTGGCAGAGATGGGCGACGCTGTGCTCTTCTCCTTTGTTCTCTTCCTGGGCGGCCAGTGGGGCGCAGAGCCCTACTCTATCTCTGTGACCGAAGGTACCATCCCACGTATATTGTCATAGCAACTGGAGGGATGGACGACTCACAGGGTGCCTCAGTCAGGCCTGCTGGTGGCCCCCTCCTGCCGAGGCTGGGACGGTGAGCCCTCCTCCTGTCCTCCTGTCTCTACCTTCCTCAGTTCCCCACGGAGGCCAGGTTCCTTGGGAGAAGGGAATAGCATAAGAAAAGTTCTCCTTCCTGCTTTGATCTCTGCCCTAATGAACTTAACCTCCCTATGATGCACCCTCAAATTCTAGAGCTTTGTGAGACGATTCCATGAGACTTAAAAATGTCAGTCCTTCATTAAAATAAATCTTTTCAGACATCTCAAAAACAGGAAGAGCAATAGAACAGCTATGCACAAACCCCCTAATCTTATCCATACATACGTATTATAAAAATCAGCGCATACTAAGGTGGCCAGCACGCAGGGAGGCAGAGGTAGGGGGATTACTGTGAGTTCGAGGTCAGCCTGGTCTACAAAGTGAGTCCAGAACAGCCAAGGCTACACAGAGAAACCCTGTCTCAAAATCTTCCCCCCTAATTAGCATATACTAATTACACCCAAAGTACATTATCATACTTCCATGTAATGTTTTTGTTTATATTCACCTCTTACCTTTTCTCGTTCTCATCCCGCTCTCACCAATTCCCTTCCTCGTCCCAGTGAGCCCCTCCTGTAACTTCATCTCTGTTTAAAAATAGTCCAGTGCATTCCATTAGGCTGCTTAGAGTAGGGGGGTGAGGGCTTGTCTGCAGAAGCGGCTACACCCCTGAAGATGTTCACTCCTGCCTGCAGTCACTGACTGCATATACACCATCAGGGAGTGGGTGAGCCCTCGTCAGCTCATTCCCTCTCCACAACAGGGTGTCGTTTGGCCTAATGCAGAGGTTTTGTGCAGATAATCATGGCTGCTGTGAGTCGGAGAGTGTGGTGGCTGCATCAGACCTGGAAGTCAGGGTTCCACACACTCCATGCCTTTCTCCAGCTCTTACGTTCTTTCCTCCCCCTCTGCACTGTTCCCTGAAGCTTGGAAGGGGTGACGTAGACGTCCATGTATGGCTGAGAATTCAAACTCACTTATTCTCATCACTGACCGACTACAGTGTCACTGCAGAAAGGGGCTTCTCTGGCTGAAGCAGACAGCGGCACTAACCCATGCACACAGCAAGGTCGCCTGACAGTTACGCCCTGATCACTGAGCAGAGCAACAGCAGAGCCTTCTGCACGTGGGTCCATGACCTCCTTAGCCATGGGCCTTTGACCAGGCTTGAGGTACCAGACATGAACTCTCTAACCTAGGGTGGGCCTCAAATCCAATTAGAATCTGGTTGGTTGCCTCCTATAACTGACTTGCCACCGTTGTGCCCGTGGGTACATTTTGCCTGGCTGATTGGTAGTGTAGCATGCAGGATCCATGTCCCAGCAAGACTTGATGACACTGGCTGGAGAAATGGCCATGAAACCCAGGTTTGAGTCCCACCACACACACGGTAGCTCACAATAACTCATAAGTTCGGCTCCAGGGGATCTGACATGCGCACACGGTCTATTGACATACTCGCAGGTGAAACATTCATACACACAAAACAAATAAAAAGTAAGAAACGACAATGACAATTTCTCTGCAGCAGCCTGAATGGCACCTTCCAATACTTTGGGGGCTACTGGCAGAGAGGGCGCTCCAAGTCTAGGCTAGCGGGAGTGCTCTGTCTCCCTACCAGAACATGTGATGCCTTCACTAACAGGATCTCACCATGACTGGGGTGGCCTTCTGTGAGGGACTGGAGTCTTATAAGAAAGTCCTTCCGTGTATCTAGAGCTTACAGTGTTTTTCCTGTAGGGCAGTGGTGCTTCACCTAATACAGTGACCCCTTAATACAGTTCCTCATGTTGTGGTGACCCCAAGTATAAAATTATTTTTGTTGCTACTTCATAACTGTAATTTTGCTATTGTTATGAATTTAAATTTTTTGGGGGGCGGTAAATAGAGGTTTGCCAAACAGGTCATGACCCACAGATTAAGAACTACTGCTCTGGGGCTAGAGAGATGGTTAGAGGTTAAGAGCACTGGCTGTTCTTCCAAAGGTCCTGAGTTCTAGTCCCAGTTAACCACACCGTGTTTCACAACCATCTATAATGAGATCTGGTGCCCTCTTCTGGCTCACATGCAGGCAGAATACTACATAAATAATAAATAAATAAATCTTAAAAAAAAAAAAAGACAAGAACCACTGCTCTGGCAGTTTCAGACCTTTAAGATTGTTTTTTTGAGACACGGCTTCTCTGTATAGTTTTTTTGAGACAGGGCTTCTCTGTATAGCTATAGCCTTGGCTATATAGAGGCTAGAGGTGTTGGATCCCCTGGGAGATGGAGTTACAGGCAGTTATAAGCTGCCTGATGTGGGTATTGGGATTTGAACTCAGGTCTTCTGCAGGAGCAGCAAACGTTCTTAACCACTGAGGAAATTTTGGCTAAAGGACTGGAAAAAGACGTAAAGACATACCATCACATAGCGTAGAACAATCCTGTCTCACTTGATGCTGACCACAAAAACCTAACCTACCAGGACAGACTATGATCTTTGGGAGGAAAGAGATAAAGGAAAGAAGAGGGCGGTGAGGAGGGAGGGGAAGAAGGAAGGAGGGAGAGATAAACACAGAGATACAGAGAGACAGAGACATATACATACATGTATATATATGACATACGTATATATGTCAAAAGAGAGAGAGCTCGCTAGAACAGAGCAGGATCAAGCTGGCCTGCTCTGCTGACGTTGGTTATCAAGTAAAGGATGGTATAGAAGGAGAGAGAGAGCTGCACAGAGAAAAAGGATGTGGCCTGACTGCTGGATTCCATCAAGCGGCTCTTGTGTTTCTTCCCTGACATTTAGAAGCTGCTCTCGCTGCTTCAGACAACGCTGTTCCTCCTGTGATGGGTATTGCTGGCTGTCAGGGGAAGCAAACCAGGAAGCAACATGCCTCCATGGCTTCAGTTCCTCACTCCAGGTTCCTCCCTAACTTCCCTCAGGATGGGCTGTAAGCGTGTCCTTTCCTCCCCACGCTCCTTTGGATCACGTTGTTTGTCACAGCAACAGAAAGCAGAGTAGGATGCACCTCCCCCCTTTTTGGGGTCTGGCATACCTGTGCTCCATGAGCGGACCCCTGTGAGGATGACTCGGTCTTGGCTCCACCAGGTGCTGTGTGAGAGGAGGAGGGTTGAATGTTCCTGGTGCAGGCACAGGGGGAGCGGGGGTTGTCAGACAGCGCCTCACTGTCGTAGCTAGGGTGCTGCTCTGTTCCAGCTTCCGCTGACCTCAGCAGTCTGGCGAGTGTGGGAAAAGTGCTTCTCTGCGATGTTCCGGGTGCTTCCTGGTTAGTGTGTGTCTGCTTGCTTCCCTGTTGGTTTTTGTGTTCTGAGGCAGGGCAGCCTGGGCTGGCTTTGAACATGCGATCCTTCTTCCTTGGCTTCTTAAGTGCTGGGACTACAAGGGTGTATACCACTCCATCCACTCACACAGAAGTTTTTAAATGACAACCTTAGGGCGGTAGCAACAATAAAAGTCACCTGTTGACATGAATCACTTCTAATTCCATCAACATTGTTGTTATGCCTATGAGTTCAAAACCAGGCTGGGCAACATAGCAATACCCTATCTCAAAAGGAAGGAAGGAAGGAAGATAGAAGGAAGGAAGGAAGGAAGGAAGGAAGGAAGGAAGGAAGGAAGGAAGGAAGGAAGGGAAAGAGAAAGAAAGATAGAAAGAAAGAAAGAAAGAAAGAAAGAAAGAAAGAAAGAAAGAAAGAGAAAGAAAGAATGAAACGACAAACACGTTCCCCCCTGGCATGCGGAGGCCAGAGGACAACTCGCAGGAGTAGGTTCTCTTGTTGCACCACTTGGAGCCCGGAGACTGAACTTGACAGGAGCCCCCTATATCTGACAAGCCATCTTGCCAACCCCCACAGGAGGCATTACGTTAAGCCGTGGGACTTTCAGTCAGAATGGCAGCTGGAAAAGAGGAGGAAGAAAGCACTCTCCCAGGATATACAAAATCCCAAGGGGTGAGATGGCTCAGGGGGTAAAATGTTTACCGTGCAACCCTGATGACCTGAGTTCAAACCCCGGGACCCCATGAAGATGGGATGATCGATCTGGTTCCATAGCGTTGTCTTCTGACCTACACACACACACACACACACACACACACACACACACAACACACACACACACACACACAATGGCACACATGTGCACACACATACACATACACAATAATGAAGTGTTTAAAAAATGTAAAACCATCCGCAAGGCTCCCGTGATCGGTTGCTCCTTGGCTTTGTACCAGCTCTTAATGATGCTCCTGTCTCTCAGAGAAACAAAAGCGCCTTTGTGTTACTTCCTAGAAAGCCATCCTACCTGGAATCGGTGTCCCTGTGAAGGCCTGGCCACCATCCAGGAGGAGCGGGCTGTGTCTGTAGCCCAGGTTCGTGAGAAACTGAAGTGGAAGAGTGGCTCGAGTCCAGGAACTAGGACAGCCTACCTCAAGCAAGCAAGCAAGCAAGCAAACGAACAAATCTGTCCACCAGTTTTGCAGTTGAAAGCCACGTGTGCACACATGCTTGCTTCATCTCTCACGCCTGTCAGGGCACTGTGTGACAGAGCCCTGTCACTAGCTGTATGCCGGAGCATCAGGTTTTTAGGGGCATTTCATGAATGTTCTGTGACTCTCAGAACAGGGGCTGCTGTGTCCTGCGAACCACTTTGAAAGAGGTTTCCTGGTGGGCTTGCACGCTCAGAAAGGAAAAGCTAGCCCTGACCTTGAATCAAGGAGATCTGTCCAGACACTGCTCAGTCACTGCAGGGAAGCCTCAGGGCTGGGAGGTAGCTCAGTGGCGGAGCACAAGGAGCATAAGGCCCTGGGGTGGCTCAGTTGGTTGACCATTTGCCTAGCATGGGAAAAGCCAAGGCCATGGGTTAATCCTCTGCACTATAAGCTAGGTGTGGTGGCCCACACATGAGGTCCCAATGTTTGGAAGGTGGAGATGGGAAGATCAGCACATTGGGAGTTTAAGATGAACCCCAACTCAAACAAAACCCGAATAGGCAACCGTGAAATGACTCAGCTCTCCGCAGGTTTCCAGACTCCCCTAGTGGTTTACTCTCATCCACGAAGCAGCCCCACGTGCCAGGGAAAGTCTGGGGTGCAGGAGTGCCAAGGGCCATGAGTTGACCCACAGTACCTGCATCCGCACCTTAAACTCCTCAGTTGGCCTAGGTGATGGTGGCCCCTGCCTTTAATCCCAGGGCTTGGGAGGCAGAGGCAGGAGGATCTCTGAATTCAAGGCCAGCCTGGTCTACAGAGTGAGTCTAGGACAGCCAGAGCTACACAGAGAAACACTGTCTCGAAAAACCAAACCCAACAACAAAACAAAACAAAGCACCCTTTTCAGTTGTTAATGACAACACCAGAAGTTCTTTGTGCCCAGTTAGACATGGCAGCACATTGCTGTAATCCAAGCACCTGAAAGCTAAAAGTGGTAGGATTAGGAAGGAGTTCAAGGCCAGTCTGGGATATATAGGGAATTTGCCATGTAAACCCTGTCTTGAAAGAAAGAAAAAGAAAGAAAGGAAAATAAAGAAAAAAAGGAAAAAAGAAAGAAAAAAGAGAAAGAAAGAAGAAAGAGAAAAGAAAGAAGGAAAAAAGAAAGAAGAAAGAAAAAGAAAGAAGAGATAAAGGCAGGAACAAGGAACGATCATCAACCCAGACTACATAGTCAAACCCTATCTTAAAACCCAAACCAACTCTCTACACATGCACACACCTGCCTTCTTATGCCTAATGAACGGGCTAGCCTCGGGTGCTCTGAGCATCCTCATGTTGCAGGTCCACAGCGAAAATGTGTGGAGAGTTAAGTAGCATTTGCCCTCTTTCCCCAAACTGGCCAAAGTGACTCCTTATCCACATCACTCCAAACCCTTCAATGTAAACCAGCCAACCAGCCCAACAACCGAAATGACAAAACCTGTGAAATGTGCTCACGTGTCTCGGCCCCGAGCCTAAGCTCGGGGAGAGCCTTGACGGCAGCCTCGCAGAAGAGAGTGACTTTGCGGGGAGCAGATGCTGCTCATAATCCCTAAAGAGCAGTAAGGCTGACCCTCCCTGCCGTGAAGAGCCTTGCGTGCTGGGTACATCTTCCTTCCTCCCCACCCCCAGCCATCTTGGCAGCGGCTCTTGGTTGGGCCCCTAAGGTGGGAGGATGGAAGCCACAAAGAAAATAGAGACTCTGGAGCTGACCCAACCGGAGGGTCCAGCTTGTGAAAATAGTAAAGTGTGTGCGGGGTACAAGCAGGCTCTGAAGATGCTCGGACAAGGCCAGGGAAGGTTGTTCCTCCTCATGAGTGAGTCCTGCTTTGAAATCTGAACTAGCATACTATGCCACGGTGGCTTAAACTGCACTGTCTGTCATTACTACAGAGGCAATAGGTGAACCAGGCACAGCTTGCAGAAAACCCTGAAGTGTGCCCACCGGCTGTCATTGACTCTGATGTTATTACAGCAGTGATATGCCAGAACAGACCCGAGACCCAGGAAGAGCAAACCCTGTGACGGTTTTCTTGAATATGATTGCTTTGAAAGTAAAACCAAACAAATAAAAAGCTAGTGTTGAGTGGTGTGTGTGGGGAGGGGGAGGGTTAGATAGGACACACAGGCAAACTCCCCTTCCCCGTCTTTCTCAGCCTCTTGTGGATACATCTATCCCAGCATCCTCAGGGGAGAATGTCAACCCTACCCAGCCAATGGGACTCCGCCCACATGCTTCCCACAGGTGTAGGTCATCTGCAGAAGGCTCTTCTCAAAACACCTGTAAAGGGAAGGGTGCAGGGTGCACCAGGCTCCAGGTTCAATCCTCGGCACTCCCAAAATAGACTGTGCAAAGGAATATTGTTATAAGTCCAGTGCGGTGGTCCCCTATGAATCTGTGCTTTTTGCTTTCTGTGGTTTCTGTTACACGTCTGAAAATATTAAGTAAAAAAAAAAAACCCGGAAATCATACATTTTAAGCTTGCACACTCTTCTGCTTAGCTATGATGAAATTTGGTGCTCTCTCGCTCTGTCGTGGGTATAATGGGAATCAATGCTACGTCTGGCATGTCCATACTGTGTGTGCAGCCTGCCTTTTGTCTCGGATGCCGTGTGTTCAAGCAGCCCTGTGTTTTTACTCTATCACTTTTAATTAATTACATGTGCATTCGTGGAGGTCAGTTCTTTCCTGTAGGTCCCAGGGATCAAACTCAGGCCATCAGGCTTGGAGGCAAGTTCCTCATTTACCCACTTGAGCCATCTTTCTAGCCTGCTTGCTCTCTTAATGAAGGCCCCAAAGCCCGGGTAGTGATGCCGTCAATTTAAATACCCCAGAGAAGAGAAACGAAGTGCTTCTTTTAAACGATGAGACAAATGTTTTTGGCTACAGGAAGAAGGGAATTGGATGCTAGGATGTACAGTTGGGACTAACTGAACTCAGACCTTGAACATGGGCTATGCCACTAAACCTCAGCCACAGCACCCCCGAGCAAATCTTCCATCCATGCAATTGTGAAGAAGGCAAGCAAAATTAGTGCCTGTTTGGTATTACTCCACAGGTGGTAAAAGTTATGGCCGCCATGCATGATAAGTAACAGTTAAGTAGGAAAAACATGCATGGGGTTTGGTACTGTATATGGGATCAGGCATGCACTGGGATCTTGGGGTATAGGTAGCACGGTGGGGTGATGCACAAAAGTGAAAGTTTGTTTTGAGACAGGGTCATGTGGCTCAAGCTGGCCTTGAGTTTTCTCTGTAGGCAAGGTTGGCCAAGAACTCCCGTTCACCCCTAAGTACTAGGGTCACAGGTGAGCACTGTCATGCATGCCTGAGCAGTGGAAGATCTAATCACAGGGAATCTCTTTTTTTGTCCTCCTGCAGGTGTGGAGAACAAGTTTTCCTCAGATTCAAAGCATCTCGATGAAGATTTGGCTAAGCTCTTTGGTAAGTAGTCCCCCGTGGAAGCTGAGGCTGGACTTGAAGGTGTCGCCTGTTCCTGGTTGGTTTGGGCAGGAGGGAAGGCGAGCATCCTGCCTGTGGCTAAGGAGCAGTTCCTCTGGGTATCCAAGTACCCCAAAATTAAGCAAAAGGAGCGATAAACCAAACCCTGGTAGGGTCTCTGCTTCTCATCATGAGGGCTGCTAGTGGAAGTTCCCAGGAGCCGTGGCCCCACCTCAGCCCCCGCACCAGCCCACCATACCAGGCCTGCCTGGATGATTTCTGCTTAGCAGAGGGCAGACATTAAAGGACGTGTGTCCATGTCCTCAGCATTAGGTTCAGTGGAGAGGTACTGCTAGGGCCCAAACCTGGAGCCCCATGCTTGCCAGGAAAGTACCCTACCATAGAGCTGCAGCCCAGGCCCCTGTAAACTTGAAGTGTTTTCTTGCTTGCTTGCTTTTGTTTTTGATACACACACACACACACACACACACACACACACACACACACACGATTGAACGGGAAGTGGGACAAAATTATAAACCTCAAAAACCTGTCCTCAAAGATATAGTTCCTCTAGCAAGGCTCTGCCTCTTAAAAGTTCTATAATCTCCCCCAAAGAGCATCCCTAACTGAGGACAGGGGTGTCCAAACATGCACGCAAGCCCCTGGGAGACATTGTCCACTTAAACCATGGCAGAGGAAAAGCTCAAAATGAGAAAGGTAGTTAAACTGACAGGATGATGGGGAAGGCCAGAGGAGAGCCTTCAAAGAAATCCTTCCAGCAAAAGAATCTGGCTTTTATATCATGTGTGTGTGTGGGTGTGTTAGGAAGTCCCACCATTAGTGGGATATAGTCTGTTACAGCCTACATGACAGGAGCATGGAGGAGCCGGGCACTGAGGAGAACCCTTCCTTAGGAACTGTAAAAGCCATGGTACAGCATGGGACAGAACAGCTTAACTCTGTCCCAGGGCAGAGCTGGGGAGGGTGGGGTTTGCAGGAAAAAGGTTGACCTGTTGCTTCAGGCTGTGGGCTCTGGCCTGTTAGAGTAACTAGCATCTTAAGGGAACAAGCCCTAGGAGAGGCAACAAGGTCTCAGACGTGAGTCTTGTAGAGATAAGAAAGAGGTTTTGCTTGTGTACGGGGCAGCGTGGGACACCCCCAGAGGTCGGTCAGAATGAGGTCAGGGACTAGAGCAGCGGCTCAACCTTCTAGTGCTCCAACACTTTATTACAAGTCCCTCAGGTGCGGTGATGCCCAACCGTAAAACTGTTTTCGTTGCTACCTCGTAACTATAATTCTGCTACTTTTTCGAATCATAATGTAAACACCTGTGTTTTCCTAGGGTCTTAGGCGACCCCTGGGGAAGGGTTGCTAGACCCCAAAGCTGCAACCCACAGGTTGAGAACACTGAACTAGAAGGAAACCTGAAATGTGGGGCAGAGTTGCTAGCCTTCTGGACTTGGTGGGTGGTGCTCTCTGCCCGGGATATCTGGTGCAATCAGGATGGCATGGCATCTCAGAGCCCAGCAGCCTGCGTCATCTGCGTTTGAGTCATTCATCCCCGTATCTGTGAACGCGCTAGGTAGGCACAGAACAAAAAATACCTCGCGTGTTGCTGCTGTTAACGATTCTCGCTTCTCTTCAGATGAGATCCTGCTGCAGGTGTTTCCCAGAAATCTAGACGATGTATCAAAAGATGCAAGAACAGCTGGCAGACTGATGATGACAGGGAGAGACGTGAATGAAAGCAAGTATATGTCAATGGGTTCGAAGTGTGCATGAGCTTCTTTTTAAATAGGCTGTGTTGGATTGGGTGTGCTATGCTCAAGACGAGCATCTTAGAGCCCAGCTTTTGGTGGGGCCCCACGAAACTGAGGTGTGAAGAAAGAATATCGGGAGGCCTCAATGTAACTTTATTTATGGAGTCTGTGATTTAAAATGCGGCTGTGGCTGTTTTTTGTTTTTCATTTTGGTGTGGGGTTGTCTCTGTTGTTCAGGGTCAGGCAGGTCCTGTCGCTGTAGATGTTGTCCAGAGGGCAGGAGTATAATTTTCAGTGAGATACATTGTTCCTGGTAACACAAGCTAGGTATAATGTTACAACTTTCTTGTCGCCCACACTTTACCGTTTCCTGCCCAGGAGCGCCCTACCTAGTCTGGGGATACAGAACTTTCTCACTGCTTCCTCAGCACCCATCCCTGCCTCCATCTTTGTAAACTATTTGCCCAGGGGAAGAACAGCTGATTTCTGTTGACACCTGTGCTCAATGCTAATGCTAAGAGAAAACAGCTGGCCACCTGCACGAAAGAAAGCAACATCAAAACCCCACGCACACTCGCGCGCTCGCTCATTAGCCCCAAAACCTGTGAACAGCAGAGGAGGCCTTCTCCATTAAGAGGAATATTGAAAACGGGTCATGACTTATCAAAATAACCCAGAAGAAAGTGCTGGGTTGAAATTGCGCTGTAAGGAAAGCAGTTATGTAACTCCTATAGCCCTGCCAGTGCACTGTGGAGGCCGCTCGATAAAGCATCATCTTGCCAGCTTGCCCCGCAGCAAGTTTTGTCGATACAGTGCGACATGTTTTCAGCAAAGTGCTTAAGGACTAGGTGTATCTGGTCCTAAGGACTCCTCTGGTCTCATTAACAGAGAACTGCGCCTTTGCCATTTATTGGCTCTAAGCAGCCCTGCTTGACACCACTGGGCGCCCACCACCCAGGCCCTTCTACCAAGTTTCTTCTGGAGTTAGAGCCAGCGTGTGCACACAAATCACTCAGTGGCTGTGCATATTGTCTGTGAGGAAACTGTGGGAAACGGCCTCTGCTGGGCTCTGTGCTGTTTGAAATGGTTCTATACACATTTGTTTCGTGTGTGCGTGCGTGTGCGTGCGTACTCGAATTTGCTATGGTGTGCACTCAGAAGTCAGGGGTTTGTCCTTCCCTCACACCCCCTCGGGGCGGGGGAAGCAGGGATTGAACTCATCTTGCAGACCCAGACTTCAGACACTTGGAGATGTTTCACTGATGCCCCATGCCACTCAGACAAAGAAAGCCCGGGGTCACTGTGATGGCTGCTTCTCAACTGTGCAGGATCTAGATGCATCTGAGAGATGGGCCTCTAGGCATGCCTGTGAGGGGTCATCTTGATTATGTTAATTGATGTGGGTGGGACCACTTTCTGGGCTGTGTAAGGAATGTATAAGTTTGAGAAAGTGAGTGGAGCCGTACAGAGCACACACATGCATCTCTCGTTGCTTGCTAAGCGTGGATGTGGTACCACCAGCCAGCATCCTGCCCCCTTCCCCATGTCTTCTGCCCCGTAATGGACTGTGTCCTTTTAGAAGCACGAGCCAACACAAATTCTTTCTCCCTTAAGTTGCATTTGCCAGAGTAACCTTTTTCACAGCAACGAGAAAAAGCCAGTTCTGAGTTGCTCCTCTTGAGGAGCCTTGCAGAGGGGCGGGGGTTCAGAGAGCCTGGGTGTGGGTGCAAGGAAAGATTTAACCACAGCTCAAGTTTGCTTTCCCACAGCTCATCTCCACTATATTGGCTTCAATGACTCTGAATTTGCATCAAGTTCACATCAAGTTCAGCAAGAGGAACACTTGGCTAAGCTATTTGGTAAGTCACTTCACGCTGTGAAAACTTGAGGTTGCATTTGAAGAAGTCTCCTGCTTGTCTCTGAGGTAACTTGTTCCCGCTGCTTCAAAGGGAAGAAGCGTGTAGCCTTGTGGCTAAAATCGGTTCCTCTAAGTATCAATCCCAGGAAGAGAAGCGGCAAGTGGAATGCGAACGCCCACAAAGGCTCTGCTTCTCCAGGGGGGACCGGGAGGTGGCTGCAGGGCCCGGGAGGGTGGGAACAGCCCTGGGACAGGAACAGGCCGACCTGTCCAAGTGCTCACACCTGGGGTGTGGGAAGACCTTATGTGAGGGCTTTGAAGCCCTCCAGGGCTGCCTCATTGTTTTACTCTGAAACTGTTACTCAGGTTTTGAGAAAAGCAAAGATCCAGATGTAACTTGAAGGGACAGGAAAGCTCCAGGAATCTTTTCCGTTGCTCAAACATCAGCGGAGCTGGCAAGAAGTGTCTTTTCCTTTTTTCTTTTTTAGAACGTCTTATTTTGTTTTATCTTTGCAAGTGTTTTCTCTGAAGGGCATAAAGTTTGACATATAAAAATAAAATCTCATGTCAATTATACAAACCTAATTAATATTTAATATTGACTATAGATACACTAGCAGAATGATATTATGTGGGTGTTAATTTCTTTTTACTTTTTTCATACAATATATTTTGATCATATTTTTTCTCTTTCCTAGCTACTCCTAGATCCCAACTCCCTAGCCAACCAACTTCATGTTCTTTGTCTCTCTTTAAAAAAAGAAAAAGAAAACAAAAACAAAAAAACAAAACAAAACAAAACAAAAAAAACAAAAACCCAAGCCTGCAATTCCAGCAGTCGGGAAGGCAGAGGCAGGTGAATCTCTCTGAGTTCAAGGCTAGCCTGGTCAACAAAGTGAGTCCAGGACAACTAGGGCTACACAGAGAAACCCTGTCTCAAAAAAAAACCAAACCAAACTAAAACAAAACAAAACCAACACGTGCACACACACACATGCACAAAACAAACATTAAACCCATTTCACATTGGCCAACTACTCTTGAGCATGGGACCTGCTCTGTAGTGTGGCAGATACACCCAATGTCACGCCAGTGAAGAAAACTGATTTTTCCCCTCTGAGAAGGTATCGGTTGCAAGTAGCTTCTTGGTTAGGGATGGTTTGAACTTGTACATGTCTTGTGTGTGCTGTCACAGTCTCTCTGAGTTCATACATGCACCAGACCTGCTGTGTATGGAAAATAACCTTTTCTTGGAGTCATCTACCTCCTCTGGGTCTCAGAATCTTTTCTTCTGCTCTTCTACATAGATCCCCGAGCCATGGGGAGAGCAGTTTGATAAAGATATCCCCTTTAGAGCTGCTTCTTGTGCTAGATGATAACTGACAGAGACCCACAGCCAGACAGTGCACAGAGGCCGAGTCTTTGGAGCACTCGGCCCTAAACGGGATGTTTTTGTCAACCCCCTGCCCTCAGGACTGACCTATCTGTGCAGAAGAGGAGGCAGGAAGACTGTAAGAGTCAGAGGTATGATGACCCTGAGGAAATAGTGTTCTCCAGACACAACATGTCAGCTGCACATATGAACTCACAGATACCGTGACAGCACACACGAGCACCAGACAAAACCCTGGCATGGAGAAGGGGAAGTGGACACAAAGTCTTATCCCTGACCAAGAAGCTGCTTGCGACTGATGCCTGCCAGGAGAGGGAAAACCAGTGTTCTCCAAAAGCAAGCGTGTCACGGTATATTTACCATATTTGAGGAGAGGGCCCATGCCCGGAAGCAGCTGGCCAACACAAAACAGACTCTCTCTCTCTCTCTCTCTCTCTTTTTTTTTTTTTTGGTATATTATTTGTTTTGTTTTTTGTCTTATTGATTGATTTATTTTTATTTTTTTAAGTTTGTTTTGCTTTTCATGCTTTGGGTTTTCCTGTCTTGGGTTTTGCTTTTTTGAAAGAGACAGAACATGAAGTGTGGAGTGGGCAGGGAACTGGAGAGAATCTGGGAAGAGATGAGGGAGAGGAATGAAAACGGTCAAAGCCAGGAGCTGTGGTGCATGCCTGTAATTTCAGCCCTCAGGGAGGCTCTTCTAGTTTGAGGCCAGCTTGGTCTACAAAGTGAGTCCAGGACAGCCAAGGCCACACAGAGAAGCTCTATCTCAAAAACAAAAAACAGAAAAAAAAAACAAAACAAACAAACAAAAAAACGAATATAGTCAAAATATATTGTATGAAAAAAACCTAAAAATCCAAACTTTGAAAATATTTAAGGATTAATAAAAAGGAAGAAATTAAACACTCTCTCTCTCTCTCTCACTCTCTCACTCTCACACACACACACACACACACACACACACACACACACACACACGCACATACGGACATCTTGGGGAATAGTCTCAGAGCTCCTGAGGCATGAATGGGATTTTCAATGGTTGCTTTTTGTGTCTTGGCAAAGAAAGCCTAGTAAAGGGGTAAAATAGCCACATTCCAGGGAAAAACAGATGTCTTCAAGTGTTAAAAAGGAAAGAGATTAAAACATTAAAAAAAAAAATCTATCCCCGAAACATTACACTAGTTTTTAGAAAGCTGTATTTCATGTGGATGAGTGTTTGCTTGCACGTACGTCTGTGTCACATGCATGTGGTGCCCAAGAAGGTCACAAGACATCTGAAACAGGTTACATGTGGATGCTGGGACTCTAACACCTGGGAGAGTGGCCAGGGCTTGCTCTTCTCTCATCTCACTGATCTCAGCGTCTCTTACTTATGAGAGTTTTTATACGTAAAGCCTCCCAGTGACCTTTTGCCTCATCTCTGGCTCAGAGCCTGGTTTTAATGTGTCACACCAGGGGAAGTCCCCGGGGGGCCCGAATGCCACCGGGAACGAGAAGGAGCGCCATGTCTCCACATCTGAGGCGTGGGACAGAGTTTCTAGCTGCCTATGCTGGGAGGGTGATACAGCTATGCGTGTGTAATTGTGACGGTGTTTTAGAGAAGGGCACCCTGTGTCCTCTGAGTTCACGTCACTCCTTCACGTCCGAGTCACCCGTGGGCAGGCGGCGTATGTACAGAGCAAAATGCCACCCATGCGTGCCACCGCTGTTAACGTGCTCTGCTTGCTTCCTCAGATGAGATCCTGATGCAGGTGTTTTCTAGCGATCCAAAATATTTATCAAGAGAAGGCGCAAGCACAGCAGATGAACTCCTTAGGTGGAAGCACTCGAATGAAAGCAAGTATCTGTACCTCGACTTGAAGTTCAGATGTTTTCATAGGCCGTGTCTTACCGGGTATGCTGTGCTGTGATATAAATGTTCTGGAAAACGGCTACCGGTGGGGTACTGCCACAGCGGAAATTGAAGAAAGAGTACATCTAAAACTCTTACTGTAGTTTCTATCACCTGTGGGCATCTGGGGTCTGCGGGGTCAGGCATGTTCTGCCTTTCTGGATGCTGTCCAGATGAAATTGATTCATTTGCAAGTAGAGTTCACTGTTTCTGATGACACAAACCCCAAGTAGTATTAATAATCTCCCTTCAATTCACTTTATAATTTCATGTACATGAATAACTTGAGAGAGAAAATATGGTATTTCATCCTTCCTTGACTACATGGTGGGTTTGAGGTCATCCTGGGCCTCATGAGATCTTGTCTCCAAAAACAAGAGAAAGAGCTGGAGAGATGGTTTGTGGGTAAGAGCACTTGTTGCTCTTCCAGAAGTCCTGTGTTCGGTTCCTAGATCCTACACCAGGCAGTTCTCAGCCACCTATAACTCTAGCTCCTGGGATCTGACACCCTCTTCTGGCCTCCACTGGTACCACATATCACACACACAAACACACACACACACACACACACACACACACACACACACAATCAAGAAGCCCAAAGCAACCAACATTAATGAGCAAAAAACAAAAATAAACACACACAAAAAAAACACCTTTCTTAGTGTTCTATTGCTGTAAAGAGACACCATGACCATGGCAACTCTTATAAGAAAGCATTTAACTGAGGCTGGCTTTCAGTTATAGAGACTTAGTCCAATATCATCATGGTAGGGAGACTGGACGCATACAGGCAGACGTGTGGAGAAGTAGCTTAGAGTTCTGCAGATGGATCTACAGGCAGCAGGAAGAGCAGAGAGACATGGAGCCTGGCTTAAGCTTTTGAAACCTCAAAGCCACCCCACCCCTGACATACTTCCTCCAACAAGGCCACACCTCTAATCCTTCTCAAATAGTGCCACTCTCTGATGCCCAAGCATTCAAATATATGAGCCTACGGAGACTAGTCTCCTTCCTTCCTTCCTTCCTTCCTTCCTTCCTTCCTTCCTTCCTTCCTTCCTTTCTTCCTTCCTTCCTTCTTCCTTCCTTCCTTTTTTTTTTCTTGGAACAGATTTTCTCTGTGTAGCCCTGGCTGTCCTGGAACTCACTCTGTAGACCACACTGGCCTTGAACTCAGAGATCTTCCTGCCTCTGCTTTTTGAGTGCTGGCATTAAAGGTGTGAGCCACCACTTCCGGCAAGGCCTTTATTCAAACCACCACAAATCTCAAAACAAACCCCTCATCCAATGGAAGAAAGGATCTTGGCCAAGGCACACCTTCAAAAATGATAAAAGGAACATGTCTTTTCCTCAAAACAAAAGCAAAAACAAAACAAAACAAAAAAAACCTTTGCACTTCTGGAAAACAGTAGCACATTAGGAATTTATCTGCCAACAGTAACCTTGGTAGCACGGGAATGAGCTGTTTGATATGTTGTATATAGTTGTGTATTTTAGGTCACGGGGTCATTTCCTGTGTCTGTCTGGGCTCCTCTTTTGTCAGTGGTCAGGTGATATGTCCATGTACATGTGGGACCTTTGAGCTGCGCACTTCTTCATACACATTAAATTCTATGTTAGTGTTTGGACTTTTAAAAATGTGAAACAATGTAGCTAAGTGGGTAAAGCGCCCCTCCCCCCAAGCCTGATACCCTGAGTTTGAGGCCTAGGCCCC